TTGCAAAAGTGCAGGTGCTATCCTTGCAACCACAAATACAGACACCCTGTCATAGAAGGCAATCAGGTTGGTCAGGCAGTTGGTAAACTCATGCCCAATCTTTCCAATCACTTTCTTACTCCTGATTTCCTCATGAAGCCACAATCATTTTTGTGAAATGGCTGTGCAACCTGTCCTATATATATTGCATGTTGTCTCCAGGAAAGAAATGAGGTGTTGTCATGCTATGCTTAGGCAGAGTTCTCCCAGATTAATTTGAAATACACACATGTACATAATGGCTAACATATGAGAAGGCTATTGCTAATTTCCAAATAATAAGCAAGCTAAATCAAGTCACTTACTTTTGTTGATATACCCAGCCAAGATCTGCTGTCTGTCTGGATGAATCATATGCCTAGTCACCATGACTTTACAGTCTGTAATCTGGATAAAATACAGGAAAACACATGTGGCTACACTAAAAGAGGCATTTGATTATTGCTATTCTCTTTGCTATCTGTTTCAAAATCTAATAGCTTGTTTCCTAACTGCATTTATTTGAATGAATTTGCTTTGTTGCACCTGTCAGCATGGCAAGAGTGATGTTAGGTCAGGCTAGGAAGTATTGCAGTCTTCAGTACGTACTAGATCCTTTTTCTCAGAATATTCAGAGCTCATCAGTGTCTCAGCATTTTAAAACTGACCCTCACCCACTTCATGATGATGCTTGGTTTGCTTGAATTCTGATAACACAAAACAGTGTTGGCAAATTTTAGCTGGAAGCTGTTCACTCACTTTGTCTAAGGAATTAAAGGAGAACCCAAAGTTTAGGTATCACAGTGTAGACTAAGAAGTAACACAGCATGCCCAGAGAATGGTAACCATGAATGCTATTGTGATGCTACTAAAATAATGGGATGCTTGGAATAGAGCTGACAAACCACTATGAAATTCAGTGCAAGAGGATGTCTATAAACCATCAAAGGACTAGTAGAGGTGTAGTATGCACAATACTCCAGTGTTGTCAGAGGGGGACATGTAGATGACAAAATATCCTTACATAGCATTCCAAGAGATGTTGTATGAAATAGACAAGCCCATAGGATCTGATGGGATGCATCCCACAAGTACTGAGGGAGCTGTCTGGTGTCATTCTAAGGACACTTTCAATTAAACAATTTCAAAAGTTGTGATGATAAGGCAAGGTTCCTGCAGAATGGAAGAAAGCATGTCATCCCTACTTTCAAGAAGGGCAAGAAAGAGGATTCAGGGAACTAGAACCGATCAGCCTCACACAGATTGTGGGGAATGTGACTAAATAACCTAGTTATTTTAAGACGGTGCTTGCGAGTAGTTGGTACAGATTTACAAAGAGGAAATCATGTCTGACCAACCTCATAGCTCTCTATGACTGTCTCAGTGGATGAGGAGAGCAATGGACATGGACCTGGACAACCAGCAGTAACTGGTCTGCCTGAGCAGGTGGACATTGGACAAGGTGTACACTAAAGGTCCCTTCCAGCCTCAGCCATTGTGTGATTCTGTGAAATGCATCCATGGCATTAAGGACTACAGTTTGTGTGTGTGCTTGTCACATGCACAAAATAAGCAATTAAAATGCACGATAGGAGATAAACAACACAATATATTAGGAACATCTATAAATTCGAGCTTTGTTTTGTATTCTGTGGCCCAAACAGCTTGGAAAGGTGGACCTCTACATACACCTTATCATTACTAGCATAGAGAATGATGTTTTCTGTTTGCTCTGTGTCTGAGTAAAGCTATATGAGCAACAGATTTTGAACCAAGCCTGTGATAAAAAGTGCATGTGCTTTGAAATCCTGAGCTGCTGAGGTGAGTCAGTCCCAGGGCATTCAATATTAATTCCAACTATTCAAGAAACAGCCTAAAGGAGAAGCAGATCCTGGAAAGAAAACCAGAAATCCCAACTAGCAAAAATACTACCTGTGCATCTCTCTCCTTTTCCAATTTGTTTTCCTTTTATTCCATCTTTCTCTTTTTAGGACAAACTGGCATCAGAGAGTGACTTGGAAAAAACATGTATGAAGAAATCCACTCCGAACAGTTAAAATCAGACCCATAGTGATCACATCCATTACACTTTGCTGGCTTCTCTCATTGCAGTGGTTTTGTTCCACAGCTCAGAAAAACAGAAATCTCTGCACCAGCTAATTGGGGGCCACTGACTCTGCAGGGTAACAAATTGCATAAGCTTACTGAAAACAAGAACTCACAGCCATGAATCAAGTATATGTGTGAGCACAGAATATTTTTATATTATTTACAATGGACGTGTCTTGAATGAGCCTGTTTTTCTACATTCATTTAGCCATCTATGACCTTCAAGAACCCTGATCCAGCACAGCACTAGCCCCTCTGCTAACAGCCACAATATTGCACTCCCCTCAAGACCAGACAGACCCATTATGAGTGTTTTACACACCTACAGATGAGAACTGAGAGGAGTAAGATGCCAATTAAAATGCAATAGATGCAATGTTGGGAATATGGCAATCATACTTCAAAAATCTGTTTGCTTTTGTTTTTACGACTGCATGTTAACTCCATTAAATTTTAATGTACACTGGAATGCTGTGAATGACAAGTGGCAAAAAATTGCTTTGAAACAAGTCTTTGCTGTGACACTTTAAGGAGGACATTGCATTAACAGTTTATTTCAACAATACAAACTTCTAAGAGACTGGAAATTAAGTGTTCCAAATGAGCTTTAAATATAGCACAAGAAGTTTTGGTTTTAATGGACAAAGCCTGTTCCCACTAAATGTACCCTTGTACTGCCAAGAGGGCTTTGAAATAAAATAAAATCATGAAGTGGCAAGTTTGAGGCTATTAGTGTCAGAGTCAGACCAGCCAAGCAATTCTAAACTAAGTTGATCTTGGTATTAAAGAAATCTGTTTGTATGAACATTTATGTTCCCTTTCGCTCTGGAAACTGCAGTTATTCCCTTGAGAAGCTACCTGGCTCTTGAGGCATTTGCTCAAGCATGACAAATACTACAGATGACTGCTTGAATCATTTCCACATAACAAAGAATCTTTATTTAAAATCTGATCACAATTAATGCTCAAAGTGCAGGGGAAAAAATAATTGAAAGAAACTTATAAAAGCTTCTTGTAATATCAGTACTCCTCAGCAAAATGTTAGGATTAACAACTACACATTAGTCAAATCCATAACTCCAGAATGAATTAGAACAAGAACTGTTTCTTGTAGTGTTTACTTCTTTGGCAAAACCCAGAAGGTATCACTTTTCACTATGAAGTAAGCAAACTTTCCTAACAAAGATTTTCATTTAAACTAAAAAGGAGGACAGAAAATGAACAGCAAATGGGAAACAGCTTTTCACCTTTGTCATTTCATTGACCTGTCCTGGTTTGTCATACACTTTCAGTCTCCATCTCTGAATGGTCTCTCTGTCCAAGTGACTGCAACAAACAACCTGATCATAACCTTCACATAGTGTCAGGTCTGGCACCCCTTGTGAGTGCTTTGGATGCCTTAGTGCATCACAAGTGCCAGTGAATGTCCAGACAACTGAATCAAACATCTGGTTTAAGCCAGTGAGATACTGGGTTTGAGGTCCCAGTGATGGTACTGACCAGACCTCCACTGCCTACAGTGGAGTTTAAACAACTATGCATGTCAGCTCTCACACACAGACACATCGGTGCAGATGTCCATCTCAGACTTACCTTCTCTCAAAGCCAGAAAAAGCAGCCATGATAAGCAATCTGTTTTGTTTCTCCACTTATGATGGCAGCTGAATCAGGCAGAAGGAACAGACCACCCTTAAGAAATAAGCCTTCAGGTGGTGGGACTTGTTGATGGGACATCTGTGGAACCCTTTCTGCTTGTTGGGTAAACATAAAGAGCCTACACGTGTGTGCCTGTAGGCCTCCTTTGACAGCGATGTGTTCCATTTAAAACTCTAAATTCCACTAAAACCAGTACAGTGAGGAGGGTGGAGAAATGTAAAATCTTTAATTAGGCACCAAAGTAATTACCTGAGATTGCTTCTCTGCATAGGAGCTCCAAGATCTACTTGCTTTTACCTGTAGTACTCCTGGACTCACATTGAAAGTTACTTATTTGTGAGCCTTCAGAAAGATAAATATAGTGTCAGAGGTTTCTGATGACTTATATTTTAATTACTCAACAAAAACTTTTATTTACTACACAGAAAGTTATTTTGACTCATAGCTACTATAACTTTCCTTTCAAAATTAAGTTATAAAAATGCACTGTAAGGATCTGCTAGTGTTACTGTTAAAAAAAAAAAACCCAGTCAGTATCAGTTAAATGGTTTTATTCTCAAAAAACCTCAACCAATCAGCAATATAAAATATTTTAACACTATTTCTGTTTAAATACTGGTGACAGATTATGCATTTTTTCAAATAAAGTGCTATTTTTACAAACAGGTATTTCATATTTACTTTTATTGCTGTTCTAACCTCGTAATATTGAATAGATGAAGTGTATTTTGGTTAATGAAGAATGCAGCATTACTTTTCCATTATATTCCTTCTCATGAAACCATTACATTTTCAATTTGGACTCCTTCATCTGTATCCAGTCAATAGAGGCATATTCAGTTTATAGATTTCTCCATCAGAAACCGTCATAACTTGTGGTGGTTTTCACACCTTCTTCCCTCCTTTTGTTGTTCTTGACTGTGCCCATGTAGATCTCCTATGGGTTCTTCATCTATGAGCAAGAGTGGAATGAAAACACCCATCTTCTTGTATGGTCATTGATTCTTCCTGCTCTTCTGACTTAGTTCTTCTCAAATCCAGACCACTGATGCCTTGAACAATTCAACACTTAGGCTGAACCATGAAAGTAACCTCTTTATTATTTTCTTTGATCCTTCGTGGCTTTTGTATTTTAAGCACATTACTGCAGAAAGGCCCATGCAGGTGTACTTAGGACTAAATTTTCAAATTTTCATTTGTACACTTGGATTTACTCAGTCAGATGCCAAACTTCACCATAAGGAAAAAAAAATAAATCTTTTGTTCCAGTAGCTACCTCTTAGGAGAAACAGCTTCTTGGGGTTTTAGAGAGCAGCCAGGTGCTGTAAGAGGAAAAAAAAAAAGTCTGAAAAACTTCAACCAGCAAGACTCATAGCTTTAAAGACAGCAATTCCACAACTACTGGAATTTCCCAATGTAATTGTTATACCACAATCTAACAATTTGACCCAATAATTCATCTTAAGCTGTCTCCTATACGGTATGAAAAGTCACATTCACATATGAAAACATCATTTACTTCAACAAACCTCTCCAGTATCCCTCTCTTCTCAATGTGTACCTTTCAGCAAGCAACTACCTGAATCCTGTATGATTTTTACTTTTAAGTCTATAATGATTTTGCTACTATTTTTACTTCTTACTCTACAATCTCTAACTCCCTCCTCTGGGTAACTTCCATTTGATCTTTTTGACTCTGCATCCCAAAGTGAAAAGTAAATATACAAACAACTCTGTATCTTCAGATACATGTGTAAGTATCTATCAATATGCAACGGACTATAATATGAAAAAAGAAACCAGAAGACCAGAATTTCTGCAAATTATAGACTGAATGGCATCATATTCTTTTTTTCATCATAGGCAGAGTTACTCTTCATTTAACTTTTGTCTGGACAATATTAATTTATCCTTTTGATATCTAAATCCTGCCTTTATTCATTGCCCCTGCCAGATGTTGGGGTGTTCTCTTTTCTTCCCACCTGCTAGAAGTGTTATGTTTAGATGGGGGAGAGAGCTGGACACCTATACCAAGTGACAAGGCTCATCTTTTTATTTCAAACATTTCAATAAACTTGGCATTAGAAGGCAAACTCAGCTAACTGGCAGTTAGCTTTGCCTCCAACCAATCTTACTGGATCTTTTTCATATTGAGGTTAAGAAATGCTCTAAGAGAGAAAGATTATGCCCTTCAGAGTACAAGCTTTGGATGCTGTCTTGCTTTTTTCATATCAATTTTGTAGAAATGGCAAACTCTGTTACAAGTCACAGATTTGGGTAAAGGAGCTTCCATGAAGTGTTTCCATTTTTTATCACAGATCTAACATGTGACACTTCCTTACATATCTATTATAACCAGCACATAGCACTTTTATTTCTACTCTTCTGGAGGAAACAATTTCAGTTGGTTTGTTCTACCACCCCCATTTTTTTTTAACAGACTCCACATGAACATTTTTCAGCTTTCCATTTCTGATTTGGCAAGTTTGTGCTGAGCTGCACTCTGTCCTTTGGTGTCATTACTTTCAATTAACCTGCAGACCACTGCCTGTTCAACCTCTTAATTATCCACTTGACGACTGCACAAATCTTGACATGCACCTTCAAAACAAACAAAACAGTCCTGGCAATTAGACATTCAAAAAGTTCAATTTTCTTTTTTACCAGAATCATGTAAGCAAAAAGGTCACCTCAAACTACAAACATAAATATTTCCTGGGGTAATATAATTTATTAAATCCTGTTTCCTCAGAAATTTGGACTTTATGCTGCCACTTGCTGTTTCTTTGGGGTCCAGAAAAAGGAGAAACATTTTGTTCCACAGAGAAGTCATTTTGCCTCATGCCTCCATAGGCTGGGCATCTGCTCTAAATGGTGACGCAGCAAGCTAATTCTTTGTTGGACACAGTTCACTGGGTTATGAAGAAGCAAATCGTTCTAGTAGTTTCTCTTATCAAGGACGGGTTGATTAGCATGCATTGAGAATCTTCCAAGACATAATTTTTTCCTTGAAAACTACCAAAGTCTCAAAACCAACCATAATGTTGATTCTTGGAGTAAATTGACTTCATCAGAATTTTCTGAAGACGACCAATTCATTTCCATTAAAAAAAGAGATGGAAGCAACACTCCCCATGCAAATACTGTTTGCCTATTCAGAATACCGTGGTGCCTCCAAACCTAATGGCTTACAGGTCCAGTAACCACTACATTATTTACAGTGCAGTTAGGGCAGCCATCTGCCTATGCAGTTCAGGCAAGGACTGGAGTATGGAGCTCCCACGGCCTAACCTAGTATCCCTGGCATGGGATGAGGAGGAAAGAATCTCAGTGTCCTTCTGACAGGCTGCAAACATATGTTGAAGCCTGCTGTTTTCCACAATGCAGAATCATCCCACTTCCAGCCCCAGGGATGACATAACAACTAATGTACAAAAGAATCTTTCTCCCAACCATGAGCTTTATTATAATTGAAACAGCTGATCTGCCAAAACCCAACAAACACTCAACAACTTTTCTATGCGTTCTTGTAGTATCACAGGGAGCTCAGAAGCAATGATCTCAGCAGGAGGTGCTCAACCAGATGCTACCTGAGGATACAACAAGTCAGCAACTGATTAGGAACTGCCAAAAAACACCCAGAAGAAACTGCAGGATCTTCCCTAAACAAACGTCTTGTGTGAAGTTAGTTACACGACTACAATCCTCTACTTCTGATGGTCTTGCTTTTACTTACTCTGCCTCTCCATGTTCTCCTACTGCATTCCTTAGAAGAGTGAAAGCAAATAATCACTGCAGCTATCCTTTCCATTCTACAAACACTCATCTAGATGCATTTCTATTTCTGCTGCCTACCATCAAACCACCAGGTTTGACAAGCAGCAACAGCTCCTGACCCAGTGGTACCAGGGGAGGGACTGAGCCTGGGCAGTGTGGATTGTGGCATTTTGGGGGGAAGTAAAGCTAAGTGGGCACTGAAACTATGGAGAAGAAGGGTGTAAAAGTGTAGACATTTGCAGGCTTGGTGATGGTAAGCAGTCTACAAACCTCCCATGACTATAATCTACATTACCATTTCTGTCTAACAAATATATTTGGATTGTATTTCACTTTCTTCTTTACACACCTACAGGCCGGATACTTCATAAAAGCAGAGCTATGCTGGCAGCCATTCTGATTAAGGTACTGAGCTTTTAAAATTATGCAAAATATTGAGGAAATCACAGGGACAGTGTGGAAAACAGTGATACCCACACAGCTGGAAGAGCAGGATGTTTTCATTATCCTGTGAGCTACATCTAGCTTTCTAAAAGGGCAAACCACAATATGGCTTTCCTGCTAATGGTGTCCAGACAGGCTTCTAGGAAGAGCTGTAAAGAAATGAGTGGTTGTGGACCATGCAAAACCCATAAAAATTTCACATATTACTTTTCAAGCACACCACAGGAGGCAGCCAGTTACAGATGTCATTATGTCAATCAATGATTAGACTGTAACAAGCTAGAGAAGTAAGTTCACACCAGAAAAACTAGTTGTAGTCACCACAGAAAAACTTGGGAAGGTTCCCATTTAAGAAGCCTTCTTGATGTGGGAGTCCAAAATACCTTAACCTGAAGTACTAGTAAAAAAACGTGAATATGAAACAAACACACAAAGACAGTAATAACTAACTGCTAAGCCAGATGTCCTACAGAAACACAAAGATTAAGCAGCTGAACTGCTGAATACAAAGCACAGGTTGTTTAAATTGCTACATAACTGAGCATGAATAAAAATTATGCCAGTTTTTTCTAATGGTTCAAGAGGAGATGCAGGGAAACAGAGATCAGTGATATGGACAGTAATATTAAGAAGATTAGCAAAAACTGCAAGAAATAATCTGAAACTTTGTGGAAAACAATCAAAAAGAGATTTGAAAAGTCTTGCCTCACCAACCTCCTGGAATTCCTTGAAGATGCAAACAAGTCTTGTGGATAAAAGAGGTCCATTTGATGCCTGGATTTTGACAAGGCATTTCACAAAGTCCAAGGTTAGATTTTAAGACAATAAGCAACCCACAGTGTAAAAATAAAATTCTGTTGTGTGGATAAATAATCTGTTAGGGAGGCAAAGGACAGAAGGTTGGAGTAAATAGTGATTTTTTCCATAGCAGAGAGATTCACCACTAGCATTTCATAGGGATCTGCATGAGGACTCAGAATATTCAATATGCGATTCCAAAAGGGCATAGAGAGTGAAGGGACAAACTTTCCTAAGTTATCTGTGTAAATAAAAAGAAATGCAAACAGAAGACTGGCAAAATGACTTCATGTGACATCAGTGGCCAAAAATGAGATGAGAAACAAAATTTGATGAGCTAAAGGCACATCAAAAAAGAGATGTATGTGTACTTATATGAAATTACAGGCTCTGAGCTCAAAGTCAGTAGATCAGTTGGGTTATAAGAGGTAGTTCCAATTAATGCCAATTCAGTCTTTGATTACAGTCAACAAAGCAGAGTACCAGAAATAACTAAGAAAGGGCAAGAGAACTGAAAAGAGAGAACACAACTGAAAACCAAACATCACTGTCATGTAAATCTGCACTATGCCTACATCTTGAATACTGCATGCTACACTGGTATCTTCCAAGTCTGAAAAGATAGTAAGTAGAAAAGGAGGAGAGGTCAGAAAAACTATGGTCTATGAAATGACAAAGCGGCCTGTAAGACTTCCATCTGGAAAAAAAATGAATGAGGAAGAATATCACAGTCATCTGTAAAATCATCAGGGGCATGAAAGCAGCGAAGAGGAAATATTTGCCCACTGTATGTTCTGATCCAGTAAGATTAAAAGAAGTCAGGACATGGCAAGTTCACAGCAAATGAAAGCAAGCAGCTCTCCACACCAATGTCAGATGAAACTGGTTGAAAAAGTTGAAAACAACTGTATGTATCTTGGCTCTGACTTGCTACAGCTGCTCTTATGCTCTAAAATATTACACAATCCTGGAAATTACTTCAAGTTGCAGAGACTGCTACTTTTTATGATAAAAAGCAGCTTATCTGGTGCAGAAACTTCTTTTATCTACATGTTCTCTTCATCTTCCTTCTCTGTCAGTGCTTCTCTTCCTGTTTCACAGCCAAATCTAATTCATGGAGCGCTCACACACAAAAACCCAAAAGCAACATCCCTGATGTCAGCCTCCTTGCAGCATCTTCTCAAACGGTCAGCAGGAGCAACTGTTGCTTCCATTCTTACTAAAGGATGCTCTCCCCAACTCTGGGCCACTATTACTGTCTTTTGCTGTCTTCAAAACACTTAAGCTCAGTGGTTATCCTCAGCACGTTGTTTGGAGACAGACTACATCTCTCATGTTTCTTCAGTACTCAAGTAATTAATCCAGTCCATTGCACCATGTTATCAAATCCCAAACAGCACCTTCTGCTCACCTACTAGCACATACAGAAGAGGCACTTCAAGTCATGGATGCTATCAAGAGATGCAGAAGCTCCCACACATGCTGACTACCCTGAGAATAGGAAGTAAACTGCACAATGCATACAGTGACACCTGATAGTGGCTTTCAGCCAAGCAGACTACACATAATACTGAAACTAACTACATTCACTAACTACCCTAGCAATGCTCAGTTTTCCACCAGTAGGTCTACAGTTAGCACCTGCTTTCATATATGTACTGATATTCAGCAGACTGAGATTGGAACAACTGGGACTTGCTCGTCATTAGTCTCCTAACGCATACCATACCTCAGTACTACTTAACACAGACCCTATACAAATTGAATTATTTTGTGAGTGGGTGCAAGCAGCAAAATAAGCAATTGAAGAAGGGGCACTTTTAAACATGGTGAACTTCTCAAGGCAATTCAATGGTTTTCATTGTTTCTCCTAAAGCATGAATATAGGAGCACACATATGAATAGGTTTTGCCCCATTCCTCAACCTTGAGTAACAGATGCATATCTGCTTTTGGCTCAGGTGGCTGGCAGGACAGAGATCTGCAACTTTTATATCTGCGACTGTGATAAAAGTATTCACTAGTTACGGGTCAGCAACACCTCCCTGTACATTGTGGTTATAGATACTACATTTTAAAAGGCAGTTTCTCCAGCTTGGCTAGCACTGGTGGTTGGAATAGATGTACTCCAAACAAACCAACTACAGACAATCATATAAAAATATTACCTATGCAGAATAACTACATGCATACACACATAAATACATACTTAACATAGCTACTTAAGCCATCACACTAAATTGTAAATCTTGAATATATTTATTTCACTTGATCACAGAAAGAGCACACTCCTAGACTAGAAAGAGTATGCAAAAGTAAATTGTGTCATACAGAAACACACCTCCCACTGATGCTATACACACACACTATATATAGTATAATGTATACTCCAGTTTGCTATCCTTAGATCCATTTTCTGTGTTTAGTAACACATAACAAATATGTTTATTCCAGATAGTACTGAAGTGCATATAAACATCTTACAGATACTTCTACCTTTTTACGTTGAAATCTTCTGTAGTCTCAGCAAGAGACAAGGACACATATTAGTCACTAATGAGAAAAGCAGTTAATTGCCTTGTTTGTCACATTCTGATTTCTAGACAGTATTATATAAAAGTATCCTTACATTTTTCAGTTACTTTCAGGTGCTACTTACACTGGGAATGACCCGGCGGTCGTGTGTTACTAACACTACTCTCAAAGGAAGAGTGGAAGTTGTGTATAGTCTCTTGTAAAATCTGTCTCTCTCGACCCTGTAAAAGAACAATTAAATAAAGTACTTTTAAATTTCTGTTTAAAAATTGAATTTATTAAGAGTTCACAAAAAATGTATAAATATGTGTGTCTATGCTCAATATACTATCAGAAATTAGATCAAGTCCTTACCTCACAGATTTCTAGAAAACCTTGTAGTAATCTTTTCCTGAAACTACCAGACAGCAATAGCAATGTTTTCATCATAATCTTCACAGCTTTATAGCATGGAGCATCATCCACCTCCCCTAATGTTTAGCCTAATCACTTACTGCTGTTGATCTTAACTTAGAAAAATTACATATTGTTTATTCATGCCTTCAGTATTACAGAGAGAATGGACCTCAAAACTAAAAAAGCAGATGGGAGGTGTCAGCAGGCCTAGTTAAAAACATGGTCCATTTCAAAATCCCTCTGACAAGAACACTGCTTACTGTATGCCATTCTTAGCACATTTGTTTATGTCAGTATAAAATTAAAAGGTAATACAAGTGTAAAGAATGAGAGAAGTGCTATTTACCTAATCATAGAGAAATCAAAAACTGATAGGCTAAACAAAGGATACCCTTCCTCTTACACTATTATCTCTAGATGGACTGTCACAGCCAGATGATTCTTTCAGCATCACTGAAATCAATATTCAGTAACTGTAATATTGCTCATGTTTATGTTACCAGTAGCTTCTTCACTGGATTAGGAAAGAGTTAATCGAAGAGTGCAGAGTGACACAAAGGAAGGTATTTCTCATTAATCAAATACATTAAATACTTTGTTTGGAAAAATTAATTTGGCTTTTCTAACTAATATCTGCAACTGAATTTCAAAATGTGTTGATATAAAAATATAAGAAAACTTTGAAATAATTTACTAAGTACAGTACTTCAAAATGTACCTTTCCTGCATTCAGTTCGGAAATAGCTGCCAAAATTTGCTGTCTCGATCCATCAGTTTTAATTCCCAGCTCTTTCAGATCACCATCAGTAAGTGTAAGGAAAGCTTCCATATCTACCTGCATGTAAATTAAAAAAAGAAGACAAAAAAGAAAAAAAAGGTAAGACAAATTTACCTAAGCAAAGATTCACTATTACAGGTAAAAAGTGGGTTTGGGTGTTTTTAAATTATACAGACTTACTGTAAATATCATGCACACAAAAATTTTTAATTAATTACCAGCACCAAATGGTACACATTTTACCACCCTGTTGTCCACAAAATTTTTAATCTGCTGTTAATAATTCAAGTAATTATGATAGTACATTTAAAATATTAATGGATTTTTAACTTTTTTTCAGACAATCTCTATTAATACAGAATATATATTCTACACAAAAATTCCTCTACCTATAGTAGCAGCTAGTTGAATAAGCCTCAGGTTTCCCCCTCTTTTCTTCCCCTCTCCCCACCTCAAGTACTTTTGGAATTGCAGAACATTGTGTGTAGTTTGCTACCATCTCTTGTGAAGAACCTAGGTTTTGTTAATTTATCAACTTTTATTGTAACAGCACATCCATAAGGTTGTGATAAAAACAAATACCTGAAACTTTTCATATTGATATAACTGTCACACACAGAGTGTACTAATTTCTACACAATGCTCCCTTGCCTGTCATGCAGGGGAACAGTAATAATGTATTGTGATGAAGCTAAATATTCTGTGTTTGTGGTACTGAATCCTGACCTCTGTGTAGTATGTCAATTTCTTTTATGTCCATTCACTACTCTTTGCTTTGACCAAACACACAATATTTGCTCACATCTGATACTGTCTTAAACATTGAAAAGAATTCATTTTACTTATTTTTAGCAATATTTCCTTTCATTGCATCCTTCAGCAAGTCACTGTCATAGACCTCATCTACAAGGATGTCTACATTCCCCAATTTAAATTTTTCTGTTGCTTATTCATAGTCGAAAAAGAAGACAATGCAGCCATCCTGGTGACTCACACCCTGCTGCTCTCCATCTGCAAATGAGGTTCCAGCTGTGATTCCAGGGATGATACAGTATGTCCTATAAACTGTTTAACTACATTGGATATAGACATATATAGAAAAAGCAGAGCATAAAAACAGAGAGGGGAAAAAAGCAACCTGAAGCAGCTATCTATATAAAAATTATATGTTCAGTGTAAGAAGCTCTGATATTTGCAGTAGCCTGGAGAATGCCACAAATATAGTTTGGTTCATATTTCAAGGTCCTCCCTGCAACCAGAAATGGTTGTAAAACTTGAAATTTGCGATTCTGAACCACAATGTTGATACAATGTGTATTGCACCCTATATTTGTAAAACAGTAGAAAAAAAAAAAAAAGAACCTTTTAAAAAAGACATACCTCTTGTTCCTCAAAAATAGGCTGATATTTCTCAAGTGACAACTTTTTAAGGATGCCAGTCAGCTCATCTGCAATTAAAAAAGAAAAAAGAACACTCCACCATGGATCAGGAAAGATTTTAATGATCTTTATATTAATTTACTCTCCATCAGAAATTAAAATATTGGCTTACTATATTCACACCATGTACTTCCACGTACTGGAATTCTATCTAGTCTTACCTCACTAGGATAAAATCTTTGAATTGTATTGCCCTTTCTTCCTCATTAATTTCTTCCTCATTATAAGGACCTTACAAAACCAAACCACTAGGGACAACTCAGACACTTCAATGCCTAAAACACGGGTGCTTGGCCCAAATGGATGACAGATCACGCAGGTTAGACAGCAAAACTTCTCAAGCAGGCAAAGAACTGAATGCTCATTCAAGTCACTGATATAACAAAGGTCTATCTGAACTTCTCCTTAAGTGCCTGACATCCAGGCATCTTCAACACAGATGGCTCAAGTTCAGCAAAGATGAGAACTGGACAGAATTTAGGTTTTATAAGCTTACCTTCCAAGGCTAAGAGCACTGAATATTGGCTTAAGTCTAAGGAAATCAAAAATTGGACGACCTGACAGTGACTCTTCCCACACACTTAAAATGTGGCTAGTTAAGAAGAGGAAGTGCAGTTTTACAATAACCTGGCATTACCTCTCTTAATTACACACTACCTCTCTCAATTAAGTTTTTCTTTGTATTGCTTTGCTGTCACACATGATTAATTTTTTTTCCCCAGTAGTACCAAAGTGGACAGTTAAACTAAGAAGTCACAGTCAAAATGAAGAACACGAATGATTACAGTGTTCAACAAAACTATATTTAATATTCCTCATACAAACTTTCATTTTAAAGACATCACTAGTCCAGTCCCAAATACACTTTGCTTTTGTTTCACTTCTTTGTCTTTTGACTGACTTTCTTTCACCACCAGAAAAAATATAAAAGAGAATCTCACTCCCTAAGCTTCTTAAAATGCATCAAGTGCCTTGAGATGGACACAATTCTATGCACTACTCTGGAAGTCTCCTTCTTTACAAGGAAGAGTCCACAGAAAACTGAAGAGAATAATTCTAGTTTGAGTCTTATTTTCTGATAGGGTTTTGGTATGTTTTTTTTTTTAACCTCAAGTTCAATTAACTTGGTATGCTTAACATGATTTGCAATAGTTGGCATGGTCTCAGACTAAAAGCTTTAGCACCCTGAGGTTAATCCATGGGAAAAGGTAATCAGTTTTAAAAACACAGCAGGAGAACTTATCCACACTGTTTGATGAAAAATACTATCTTAGATAAAGAAAACATAATTTTCATTAGAGGACTTTAGACTAATGTCTTTTTTCTTTTATGCTGCTAGTTAGTCTCCTCATTTTTCATCACGCTGCTGTGCTTGAACTGTAGGCTGTGATATGGGAAGAAATATTTAGGGAGTCCTGAGCCCACAGTCTTGTTGTCATAAACAACTATAATATCAAACACCTTCCATCCACAGAAAGAATGCTTTCAGCTGTAGGCCCTGCATGTTTTCTCTTTTTCTTCCCCTCTTCCAGCTCCTGTATTACACTAAGTTTGAAAAAAACCTGAAACCTCTCAGTTATACAATTTTTGCATAACATGTTGTTTCTCCCTTGCTTTATCACTCTCATCTGCTCTACTCATATCTTGTCTTCTTACCTACATCCCTGGAGAAAGCAAAGGTTCTTGGAGCTCTTACTGTTTCTGCCACATTACTCCTATTCAGCACCTCCATTTGTACTACTCTGTAGTAGTAAGGTAAGATTACCTTTTTCCAAGTTTTCAGAGCCTCCTTTTACTCTCACATGGTTTCGTCTTTCATGATTCTCCACATCACTGGTTCTCAGAATAGGGACAAGCTGCTGATGGTCCAAGTGGTTGCCTAAAAAGAAACCAAGCACATCTCTGAACCCTGCTGCCTACTGTTCCTTCTCAATAATACTCAATGTAAAACAATTTTCTAATTCATTTAAGTTTACCTGAAAGAAAAACAATAGTTAATACTACAGACCCTCTGTACTTATTCTTGTGGTTACTGTTGGGCCTATAAGCACTTGTACTGCTGCTGCTGAATCAAATCATCTTAAGAGAAGCCCTTGAATTAAAGGACCAAAAGCACAAAATAAGTACAAAAGTTTATAAGCACAATGAACCCAGAGCTACGGGGGCTTCTGAAAACCTTTCCTCTGCTACAGAGGCACTAGTGGTGCAGTCACGAAGTCCCAGCTGCACCAGGTGAGATGAGAACAGCTGAGAGCTTAGGGAGTTCCCCCTGTTATTGAACAGTAAGTTCTCCTCCCTTTATATATTTCTAAGCTGACAACTCTAATGTTGTCAAGCCATCATTATAAAATGGCACTAACTAAAATGTGAAAGGACTTTCTCCAGCAGTCAGATTATGTTACAGCTAACCCATAAGAAGAGGACAGAAAGAGGGTCAAATATCACTTCACTTTATGTCAAATAGAAGTACAGTGTCCATGGACAAAGTTAGCATAAATGAAAACAAACCAAAATCAATACAGACACTTTCAGCAAAACCAAAAATAGCACAAGGTGCCTCTTGCAGAAAGCAGATAAAGTGCCTCCATTTCTTATTTAAAAGACTCTGAGTCAAGTTATTTTTTCACTTTTTTTTTTTTTTGAGATCTTTACAGAAGAAAACAAAGTTTTTGATATCCTGTTTCCAATGCAGCAACATGACATTTTACAATAAAGTGTTGCAATTTAGACCTAAAAGTTTAACTTAAAAGGTAGTAATCTTACTGGAAAAGTAGTAACATTATCATTCTTTCTTATGACCTTAAGTTAAAAATAGGTCAAAATAAGGTTATTTTTGCAACTTAGAAAAATAAATGCACTACAGCTCTTAAAAATCAATTGCATGTACCTATGACCTGCTATGAATCAAAAATGTATTTCTGTAATATGTGCTTCATTGCATTCACTAATGTGAAGAAAGTGCATTTTCTACCCTCAGCATGGGGTGAAAACAGGGTTTAACCCATGAAGAGGGAAAGGAAGGAAGTCACTTAAGAGTGGCCTACCTACATGCCCAATGCTAGCTTTGACATCATACCAGTTTCCCTTTAAATGGAAGGAACAACAGCTTTTGGGAAGCAAAAAGGCAGTTAATGCAGGAA